TCGAGTTAGGGGCTGGGGGCTCGGGTCAGGGGTTGCGGTTAGGGTTAGGGGTAGGGGCCACGGTCAGGGTTTATGAGGTGGCCCAAGCCTTGACCCTAACCGCCGCAAGCCTTGAGCCGAACCCCCAACCCTATAACCCCAACCCCTATACGTCCTTCGGCGTCGTCTCCTTTGCCCCGCCGTCGGCCGCCTGGCCGACGACGACACGGACGAGGGCGGTTGGCAGCGCACGGGGTAAACGCAAGGGAATCGATGCTGCAGGAGAAGGGCCCTAAATGGGCCCGTGAGGGCCCTGAAAGGGCCCGTGAGGGCCCTTAAAGGAGCCCTTAAGGCCCCAGATGGGGCCAACCGTATCTTTCACCCTATTGCCCCTGCGTTACCGACCGCCCGAGGAGGGTTAGCAGGGTTACATGGGTGGAGGGCTGCAGGGTTGGAGGGTCGGGGCTCTGGGGGGGTGGAGGGGCGCAAGGTTGGAGGGCTGCCGGGTTGGAGGGCTGGAGGGTTGGAGGTCTCCAGAGGGTGGAGTGGGGTGGGTGGGAGGGTTGGGGGCTTGGAGGGTTGAAAGTGTCGTGGGGGGGCCTGCTCGGCCCCGACCTCGGCTTTGCTGTCGGAGGCGCCGTCGGGGGCGTCGGAGTCGGCGACCTTCGCGGCCTGGCCGTCGGAGTCGGCGACCTTCGCGGCCTGGGCGTCGGAGTCGGCTACCTGCGAGGCCTGCAGTTCGGAGTCGGCGACCTTCGAGGCCTCCAGGTCGGAGTCGGCAACCTTCGAGGCGTGCAGGTCGGAGTCGGCGACCTTCGAGGCCTGGGCGTTCGAGTCGGCAGCCTTCGAGGCCTGCGGGGCGTCGGAGTCGGCTACCTTCGCGGCCTGGGCGTCGGAGTCGGCAACCTTCGAGGCCTCCAGGTCGGAGTCGGCGACCTTCGAGGCCTGCAGGTCGGAGTCGGCAACCTTCGAGGCCAGGGCGTCGGAGTCGGCAACCTTCGAGGCCTGGGCGTCGGAGTCGGCGACCTTCGCGGCCTCCAGGTCGGAGTCGGCGACCTTCGAGGCCTGCAGGTCGGAGTCGGCAACCTTCGAGGCCAGGGCGTCGGAGTCGGCAACCTTCGAGGCCTGGGCGTCGGAGTCGGCGACCTTCGCGGCCTGAAATGATGGAAGCGGGGGGCTAGGAGGAGGAGGAGGAGGAGGAGCAGGAGGAGGAGGAAGAGGAGGAGGAGGAGGAGGAGGGAGGAGGGAGGAGGGAGGAGGGAGGAGGGAGGAGGGAAGGAGGAGGGGGGGCAGGAGGAGAAGGAAGAGGTGCAGGAGCAGGAGCAGGAGGAGGGCGCTGAGGAGGGAGGGGGAGGAGGTGAAGAGCAGGACTGGGATGCAGCCTTGTTCGCACCCTTCGTGAGCTTGAGCTTGCCTGACGCGGTAGCCCCCCCCTACCTGCCCTTCTCCCTACTCCCTCTGCTTTCTTCTCTCGTTTTCTTTATCTCTCTCTTTCTCCCTCTTCTCCTCCTCTTATTCCTCCTCCTCCCTGTCCTCATCCTCCTCCTTCTCCCTCCTCCTCCTCCTCCTCCTCCTCCTCCTCCCTCTCCTCCTCCTCCTCCTCCTCCTCCTCCTCCTCCTCTTACTCTTCCTCCTCCTCCTCCTCCTTCGGTGGCCAGAGGAGGAGGAAGCGATTGTTGTGGTGAGTGTTGGGGCGACCCAGTCGCCTACGAGGCGGCGCTGCGGCTTCTTGCCACCTGCCTCCCGCGGAAGCTCTCGAAGTGGCGGCGGCCCTGATGATGAGGCGCCCGAAGTCGTGATAAGACCCCACCATATGCCGATGACCTTGTACGCATACTTCTGGTCGCCGTACTCGAACAAGGCAAGAACTTCTGACGATTCGCCACGGCCGACGGTCTTAGGAATCAGGTCGGTCGTCTCCAGCTTCTTGCCGTTCATGACAACGCGGGCCACTTTCTTCTCGAAATCGTAGTCGGCCTCGGGCAAGGGCAACGGCGCTGGCTCGGGCTGCACTTTCAGGGCGGCGGCGGCCAGCTCCTCGGAGTCGGTGCCGTCGCCGATGCTGGACTTGGAGCCTTTGCGCCTCCAAGCCTGCCGCCTCTTCATGAAGGCCAAGAACTCGGAGCGCGGCTTGTTGGCGCCGTCCCAGAGCTCCTGCAACTTCGGCTTGTACAGGCCCTGGCATGCAGGGATGAGGATGCTGTCAGCCACATCAGGCGACCGCAAGAGCTCGGATACCTTGTCGATCTTGGCCTTCTTCTCCGCAGGGCTAGTCGACTCTGGGCCACGTTTGCGGCTCATCTCTGGACGGTCGTGCGCCCTGAGAGTGAAGGATCGCCTCGGGCCAAAATGGCTGTTGTGTGTTGCTGGTGTTGCGATTCCTAGCGCTGCCGTTGCTGTTGTTTTGTTAGTGGTGGCGGTACCGTTGATGCATGCTGCTTATGGATGTTGGAGGAGTCGGTCCTTTGTACAGGTGTTGTTGCTGCTGCTGTTGCTGTTACTGTTGCTGTTGCTGTGGTTGGTTGGTTGTTGTCGCTGTTGTTGTTGTTGTTGTTGTTGTTGTTGTTGTCGTTGCTGGTGTCGGTGATGGTGGTGTTGTTGCTGTTGCTTGTGTTGTTGTTGCTGCTGCTGTCGCGGCTGTTGTTGTGGTTGTTGTTGTCGTTGTTGTTGAGGTTGTTGCTGTTGTTGTTGTAGTTGTTGTTTTTGCTGTTGTTTTTGTTGTGGTTGTTGTTGTTGTTGCTGTTGTTGCTGTTGTTGTTGTTGTTGTTGTTGTTGTTGTTGTTGTTGTTGTCGCGGGTGTTGTTGTGTCTGAATGGAGAGGAGGGCCTTTTATATCCGTCGTGCCCAGGACGTGAAAACAAGCAATTGGAAGAATGGAAGAGAGGGGGACGGAAGTCCTTGTTAGCTGCTCAGTGTTGGCAAAGATAGCTCGAGCATATACGTGCACACGGGGAAGGAGAAGGGGTGGGATGGGATTGGGCCTTTTATATCCGTCGTGCCCAGGACGTAAATAAATAATAGAAGTGGGAAGAAGGGAGACGCTATTATATAGTATGTTGTTTTGTTAGCTGCTCATTGTTGGCGATGCTGTTCTGGCGAACGAGGCGTGACACCTTGCGAGATCAGTCCGTTGCCAAGGCCGTCGCCGTCTGGGCCTTTTATATCCGTCGTGCCCAGGACGTAAAAGAGAGAAGTGGGAAGAAGGGAAGAGTGGGGGACTATGTTATGTATTATATTGTCCTAGCTGCTCAGTGTCGGCGATACGTCGTAAAGAGCTCGAACATCTACATACACATGTGGGTGGAGAGGGGTGGGAAGGGGTTGGGCCCTTTATATCCGTCATGCCCAGGACGTGAAAGAGAGAAGTGGGAAGAAAAGACGAGATGGGGATTATGGTATGTAATAGGTTGTCCTTGCTAGCTGCCTATTGTTGGCGATGCTGTTCTAGCGAAGGAGACTTCACACGTTGCGAGATCAGTCCGTCGCCGTCGCCGTCGCCGTCGTGTTGTTTGGTTGATGTTGCTGCTGTTGCTGTTTATGTTGCTGTTGTTGCTGTTGCGTTGTTGTTGCTATTGTTGTTGATGTTGTTGCGGCTGTTGCGGCTGTTGCTTGGAGGAGAGGGGGTGGGAAGGGGTTGGGCCTTTTATATCCGTCGTGCCCAGGACGTCAAAGAGAGAAGTGGGAAGAAGAGAGGAAACGGGGGAATATCATCATATGTTGTTGTTCTAGTTAGCTTTTCATTGTTGGTGATGCTGTACGAGGCGTATTATATTTTGTTGTTCAGGCTTGATAAGTCTTGCTCTTGTTGATGTTGTTGTTTTTGGGGTTGTTGCTTTGTCTGCATGGGAAGGAGAGGGGGCGGGACAGGGGTTGGGCCTTTTATATCCGTCGTGCCCAGGACGTAAAAGAGAGAAGCGTGAAGAAGAGAAGAAAGGGGATTATCATACGTTTTGTGTTGTTATTGTTAGCTGCTCGTTGTTGGCGATGCTGTACGAGGCGTAACTCCATGCGAGATAAGTGCGTCGCCATCGCCGCGGCGCCGTCGTCTGTCGTCGTTGTCCACCGCCGTCGTCGTCCGTCGCCGTCGTCGTCGGTCGTCGTCGCCCCCAAAGTACAGGCGGAAGGGGGAGGACACTAAGAACTGGAGGTTTTTTTTGTTTTTTGAATCACGCGCCGACACGTCGCCCTGGTAAACATTTACTTCGCTGCGTGACCGGACGCCGGATATTCAATGTCGCGCGACCGGACGCCGGCGGGGGTAAACATTTTTTCTCCGCGTGACCGGCGTCAATCATTGTTTCCCTGAAAAGTAAACAATGATTGACGCCCGACCCTCAGGGTGGGGGAGCTGCGGGGAGCCGCGGCATCGGTGCCTCGCGATTCCCCCAGTTGCGCTGCAGCCGACCCCGAGCCAAGTCTCCGGGTCGGTTCTGGAGGTCGCCGCGGCGATCGCGGCGGCCGCAGATCGGGGCAGGGTTTTTGCCAGAGAGTGGCATGCCCCTTCCCCGCATTGCGACGCAGACGTGGCTCTGACTAGCAACTTACGGTAAGTTCATGCAGCGTTGGCACGCCGGCGACGCCAGCGAAGGCGTTCAAGGTTGAAGTCTGCGACGCGGAAGCACCGAGGGTCATGGTAAATAACGCCACTGGACCCGAAAAAAAATGCAACCTCGATCGATCGGGGCCGCGATCCGTTCAAGGCCGAACGATCGAGGCGGTGGGCCGACCCTCGCGCAACCAGAGGCGGTCCTGCGCAGAGGGGGGCAGGGGAGGGGGGAAACGCGTCTTAGAAGCAGCCCTGCCTCGTAGGACGCACGGGCCTCTTCTGTATGCGAGGCCGGCGCCCTCCAAGAAGCAGCCTCCTTCTCAGACCCCCCCTACTGGAGGGCGTTTTTGTGTAACCTTCTGGGCCACAACGCGCGGTATGCCCCCTCCCCTCCCCCACCCCCTCCTCCCATAACGAAACGCTTTCCCCCCCCCCCTGGTGCGTCCCCGGCACTGACGCAGTGCGTCCGGCACCGCGGATTTTTACTTGTTTTTTGGGGGGGGGACGCTACGCGTGATGCCCCCTCCCATCGCCACCCCTTCCCCCGCCATGGCCGCGAGCAAAAAACTGCGCCCCTGTGCGCACCGCCCACAGAGGCGGACCGGCAGCTGCAGGCCTCCCGCGGCACCCGCGGCGAGGGCGCGCCCGCGGGCGCCCCGCCGCCCCCGGAGGCCTCGCGGGGCGACCGCTTGCGAGGCCGCGGCCGCGGCGCCGCGCCGCCGCCCGCGCCCCGGCGGGCGGCGCCGCGGCGCCCGCCGGGGGCGCGCCCACCGGGCGCGCGGCGGCGGCCGCGGCCTGCGAGCTGCGCCGGGCGGAGGCCATCGGCGAGAGGCTGCTCTTCCGCGGGGGGCGCCGGCGGACCACGTCGTCTCGGGGGGGCCGTCGGCCTCCCGGGTGGAGAGCGCGTCGGGGCGTCGGCCGAGGGCGGCGCGTCGTGGTTTTGCCTCCCTCGCCGCTGCGTCGCTCCTCGCCCCGGGAGTGGTGTGCGCGGTGCCTATAGTGCACTGCTTGGGCCCCCCCAGGGGCCGAACAGGGCTGTGCGCCGCGCGGCGCGGGAGCCGGGCTTGCAGGGGGTCCCGACCTGGTGCGGTGCAGGGGCGCCGTTCTCGCACGCTGGGCTCCAGCGGTAGAAAGCGGTCTAGCGGGCCCGCCCGCCCGCCCCCCCCCCACTGCTCCGGGAAAGCGTGTCTCTGTCGCTTGCGCAGGTCCGAAGGGGGGTGCGCAGAGGTCATGCGCGCGGGCATCTGTGGTCAAGCAGTGGCGAAGCGTCCCGGCGTGCCTATGGCCCCACCAAACAATGTTCTAAGAACCTGTTGTGGTTCCCACGAAATGTTCTTAGAACATTTCTGGCTGGACTGCCTTGTTTTATCACATCGTGTCTATGTTCTAAGAACATTATTTTGGTTCTTAGAACATTTGTGGGTTCTAAGAGCATGTCGTGGTCGGACTATAGGAATGCTGGGACGGTCGGTCCCTGCTCAATGTGGGGCTGCCCAAAGCGAGAAGGTTGGGTTATCGACCCGCACCTCCCTTCCCCCCCCGGATGACCCCGGCTACTTCAGAAAAACGGAAAACGATCGCATTGGGTTCCATGGGGCCGGAGGATCGTGAAGTATCGCCGATGCATCGCCGATGCATCGCCGATACTGCGGCTCGATGTGGATCCCGATTGCCTCCAGGCCGATGTTGTCGATGCATCGCCGACCTCGCCGATGCGTCGGCGCTGCGGCGCGACCCTCCGTCCTGATCTGATTTCTCGGACCCCACTCTGGGAGGCCTATCCCCGATCCTGGCGCGACCCTCCTGGGCACCATGATCGGTGTGTGTGTGTGTGTGTGTGTGTGTGTGTGTGTGTGTGTGTGCGCCGTCGTAATTTGGCCAGGGAGGACCCGTGGGTACACCGATCCTGGGCTTAAGTCGGACATGTCCTTCTAGAGAAGAGGTGTCCGAGACAATAGTAAAAAACATAGTCTGGTGACGATTCGTCGTGGTGCTCCTTCGACAATCACTGACTATGTGTTGATCATGTTTTAAGTCTTTCTTCCAAGATCCGCATGTAGGAGGACATGCCCGACTCATGGGGGCGCGTTCCATTACTCGCAGAAGTTCCTACCCGCAAGCGCCAGCAAAAGCACATGTCTGCCCCGATGTAACTTAGCGCAGATCCCCCGCGGCGGATCCAGGCCATTTGCGAGCAGCGACTTTGCGAGTAGTGCAACGCGCTCGTCTACCGACACGGTCCTGGGCCCATGGGTTCGAGCAGGTCGGGAGCTCCCTCGGCGAGGCTCGGTCCGTTGACGCCCCCCGAGCTCGTCCTGCGCTTCAACGCCGGCGCGCGGGAGGCGGCCGAGAGGCGCCTCGAGGTGGAGGCCGCCGCCCTGGGGGCCGCACGCAGCCAGGCTCGAGTCGGGCACGCCCCCCTACAGGAGGAATTTCCGCAAAATAGCAAATCGTCTGGGGACGATGTCTCGATCCCTTTTTTGCCTATTTGTGTGGATCGTATGGGCTATGTGGCCTATGTTTTATTATTTGCCCATTTGCCTATTTGGGCACATGTTCGGGTACCCTGTGTGGATGTTTCGTGCCACATCCGCCTGCACGGGGACGTGCCCGACCCAAAGCCAGGCGGAGGACCTGCGCTGCGAGCTCGCCGAGTGCTCGGCGGAGAAGGATGCCGCCGCCTCGGAGCTGGCCGCGGCGCGCGTGGACGCGGCGGAGAAGGGCAGGACTGGGCGGCGGTCGCTAAACTTCAGGAGGGAAGAATTGGCACAGGCACGCATCATCGTCTATGCCCAGGAGAACATATGCCGCCGGCGGCGAGCATAGGGGGGGGAAAGTGAGAAGGAGAAGGCCTACTTCTCAGAAGGTCTCGCGCCTTCTGAAAGGTTGTCTGCAGATCCGGGGAAGGCTTAGAACACTTCTCAGAAGACCAGGGACTTCCGAGCCTTCTGAGAAGGTCCACCTCTTCTCACTTCCCCCCTTCGCTCGCCGCCGAACAAAAGGCCTGGTTACGCCAGGGTTTGGTTTGCGCCGTTAGGCCCGGGGGGCACGACACTGGCCTCGTAGGGCCTCCTCAGGGCGTGGCGGAGAGCTCACAAACCAGGGTCGTCTTCGCCGACATTGGCGCGCAGGCTGACCGCGTGAGGTCGCGCGTAAGCGCCATGGTCTCCAGTGCTGCGTGCTGCCGCTCGGGCGGCCCGCGTGAGCTGCGGCCGTTAGGCCGCCGTGCCATCTCGCGTACGACCCGTTTCAGATCTCTCCGCTGGAGTGATGTCGCCCAGGGCCAGGCAGGGCTGCGCTCTGTGCTTCATTTTTCTGGCAGGGAGGCACAGGAAAGCAGGTCGAGCAAAACGAACAGCAGAACGAACGCAATTTTTGTTGGGGGGGGGCCCAGAAGTCACGGGCGCAACGTGACCGAGATTCATTAATCTCGGTCGCGTTTCACCTAGGGCTTCTTCCAAGTTGAATTGGGGTCCAGCCCGTTGCAAAACGCAAAACGAACACACAAGGTTGAGGTCCAGCCCTGCTCAGGGCAGGCGGTTCGCGCGGTGTCGCGAGCCCGAGTCGTCGCCGCCGCGGCAGGAAGCCGCCGTGCACCACCGCAAGTGGCCCGGCAGGCCCGTCCTGGGCCGAACAGGGGGGGGGGGGGGCAGGGGAGGCCACGGCTGCACGACGATCTGGACGCCCGAAATGGGTACTGAAAGAATGGGTTCGCACTCTACCTGCAAGGAGGAAAGACTGGTCTACTCTGTAAGAACGGTTTTTTGAAGCCAGTCTTTCCTCCTTGCAGGTAGAGTGCGAATCCAGAGCCAATTTAGGCTCAAGCCTGATGAGCCGCTGATTGCGGCGAAAGCTAGCACCAGCCAAGAGAAGCAGCGAACCTGAAAAAAAGTGGGCCATGCCCGAGAAACAATTCCTGTTCATTTTGCACAGGACTCGCTGTCCACGCCGCCGCGGCCTGTGTCCATCCGAGACAGGAGGCCGCCTGCCCAACAGCGGCCGCTGTTGGTTTGGGACAACATTTGCTGTTGGGCATTGTACCCATTCTTTCGGTACCCATTTCGGGCGTCCAAAGACGGCTCGGCGACAAGACGCGACGGCGGACATGGAGCGCTTCGAAGCTCTTTGGGGGGGGGGAGGTCACGGAAGGCCAGGAGGGCAGGGAGGCCGGCAGGGGTGGCGGACTGGAACAGGGGGAGAAGCATCGACCCTGCTTCTGCGATTGGGGAGGCCACGACGACACGGCGACAAATAGCGCTTCGAGGCCCTGGGGGGGAGGGTTAGGTCACTCGGCGTCACCTCAACATACTTAGACTATATGTGCGTCGCTCCAACCCGAGGGCGACGCGTGGGGGGCGACGCGTGCACCGAGAAATCTCATAGCATGTACGTCGTGGCGGGCGCTTTCTGGCCACACCGCTCGGGAGACGATATGATTACTACAAGATGGGTGTACTGAATGTTTGGGTCAGACGCGCGCCTCTAAGGAGAACATATAGTACAAGTATGTCTTTGTGCGTCCCAGTCACGGTGGGCCAGGGAGGCCAGGAAGGCCGGTAGGGATGGCGGACTGGCTCAGGGGGAGAAACATCGACCCTACCTCGTCGTTTGGTGCCTCGCCGATCAGTCGGCGATGTGCCTTCGATTCCAGGTCCTTGTTGCCCCCCTGAGGCAGTCACCCCACCTGGGCAGTCCCCCCCTCTTTCCGGCTTCCCCTGAAGTCGCCAGGGCAGGCAATCGCTGCACACACCAGTCTTGGGCCCATGGATGGTCAGTCTCGTCTAACCGATCCCCATCCGCACTGGGCCACTGTGTCGCGGCCCTACCAGCCCACCCTGGTCGCGCGGATGGGTCCCACGAAACACGACTGATCAGGCATATGTGCTCCCGGGACAGGGGAGGGGGGGGGGGCGACGACGACGATGACGATGACGGCACCACAACAACATCCCACACCCACAGGGAGAGTGGTGAGGGGAATCAGAGCACCCTCCACCACCACCCCACGCCCACAGGGGGGGGCGGCATCGCGGGGGGGGGGGGGGGGGGGCGAACGCATCAGCATGAGGGGGTGAGGCCCAGAGACAGAGACCGGGATTTCTGATCTAGGCTCTGGACCCCCCCCGCCGCGCGATGCACCCTCCCGCCCCCCCGTCGGCGTGGGTGAGGGCAGTGGGAGGTGCCGTTGCACCCCACTCTCATGCAAGTGTGGGGTGGTGCTGCCGTGCCGCCGCCGCCGCCGCCGCCGCCGCCGTCGTCGTCGTCGTCGTCGTCGTTCGCCGTCGTCTGACGTCGTCTTCCGTCGTCGTCGTCGTGTTCCCGCGTCTTCCGTCGTTGTCATCGTCGTCTTCCGGCGTCGTCGTCGTCCTCGTGGCCGTCGTCGTTGTCGTCGTCGTCTTCCGTTCCCATCTGGGTTGGGCCTTGGGACCCGTTCCATCAAGGGGAAGGGGGGGGGGTCCCGTGAACCCTCGACCCTGGATCGTAAGTATGTTTTCACCCTGGGGGGGGGAAGTCGGCCAGTGGTGCAAAGGCCACGCCAGTTGGGATGGGGTCTGTTCAATGATGCTCAAGATGGGGTGGTGTATACAGTTGGCGCACTCCTGCAGGAGGCTGCGCCAGGCGAGGAGATGGAGCGCAGCGCTGCGCCAGGAGCAAGCCGATTCTTCAGGCTGATGCCACACTCCCCGACCGTTTACGCTCTCGAGGCTGCGGTTGGCCCTGAACTGGCTGAGGCAGGGGAGGTGGAGCAGGGGGGAAGGAGGAGGCTGGGAGGCAGGGAGGCGCAAGAGGATGACCAACATGAGGAAGACAACTGGCAGGAGGGGAGGGAGGAGGGGCAGGAGTGGGAGGCGGAGGAGGAGGACACGGGGGCAGCCACGGCGCACCAAGGCCGTGGCAGCATGCCTGCCCACGTGGGGGCCAGCCGCGAACGTACCTCCCTCTTACATCGTCACCCTTTAGATCCACATCGTTTTTACCTTCTACATTCAATTTCCGTCACCTCTTACATCTTGACACCATTGCTCCCATCGTTGCGTTACGCAGCGCAGCACTACGCGGCCGTGTTGGACAGCTCGGGCCGCCGCTCCTGGCCTGCTGAGCTCCAGGGTGGCCCGGGCGTCTTGGGCTCCGATGGCTTCGCGATGGAAGGCGCAGCCCTCCCCCACCAAACATCAGTGGACGCCCCAGGGTCTCGGTTTTGGCTTTACTGTGGAGGGCTTCTTGTGGTCTAGCCCCTTCTGCGTTCCAGCATGTTTGCTTTCGGAGGTAACTCTCCTGAGGTAATGATGTTCCAACCTACTTCAGCCTTATCTACCAGAAGCAATTTCGAGCACCAGAAATAGTACCGAAGCTCGAGGGTTTTCGCGTGCCCGGCCCTTGGAGACACTCGCCCGACACCGTTTCGACAATGCTTCGACCTTTTTTCGACACTTTTACGGGTGCTCGACATGATTTCATGGATGTGGCCCTCAAGTACGCTGGGGCAACATAGCCAGGAGGCTCCCGTGCGCCCGCTGCCCGCTGGCCTCCCGGCCTGCTGGGCAGGCTCTCCTGGCCCGCGCGGGGGGGTGGCCCTGGGGCGGCCCCGGGGCGGTCCCGGCGCTCCGCAGGCTCTCGTCGGGGCTCGGCATCGCTTGGACGTGTGTTTTTTTGGGCGGCGGCGAGAGCCAGCAAGGATCACGCCGGGCCTCTCCCTCTACAGGAGGAATATTCAAACATAGTGAAACAAAAGCCTGGGGACGATTTTTTGATTAGTTTTCAGCATTTTGAGGGGTATGTTTTGACTATTCTTGATTGTTCCTCCAAAATCGGCCTGCAGGAGGACATGCCCGACCTAAATCAAGGAGCATCTTGGAGCATCTTGTGAAACCGATGCACGCGCGAAAACGAAACAGGCAGGGGGAATGGGCGTCCGAGCGATGGCGAGAGGGCCGTCCCGGCCTCTCCAGGGCTCGCTTTGATTCCTCCCAGTCACGCCATCCGACTTCGATGGCCTCCGATCCCCATGCGACGCCGGATTTTTGGATTCGCACTCCGATTCTTCTCCACGGAAGCCTTGCCATCGTGCCGATTTCTGGCGATTCGATTCCTCCCGACCTGACTGTCGATGTCCGCCGATCCGACTCATTTCGATCGCCGATCCGACCTGTCGATTCGACTCTGGGCTCTTCTGCCGCCTCCTTAGTCGGCCGTGGGCCGTCTCGGCAAGGCGCGTCGTAGAGCCGTCTCGGGGACCTGGGCCTGTTGGTTGAGCAGAGCTCCGAACGCAAAGCAAATGATCATGGGAGCCTCTTGTTCTGCAGTGACTGTGGGGCCCCTCTTGGGGGCGCGTCTTGGAGCCTCTCTTGCGTGCCTTGAGAGCCTTTGGGGGTCTTTAGGGCTATGTTGGACGTATCTTGGGCCGTCGTGACGGCCGTGGCTGCCTTGGGGCGTCCTGGGGACACCGTGGAGCCCCCAAATGAGCCGCCTGGGCCCGAGGGCTCCCTGTTTTTACCTAACAGCTTGTGCTGATAGGTTTCTAGTAGGGTCAAAAGAGAGCATCATGACACTGCAGGGGGGTCCGGGCGGAAGCCGGCAGAAACCGGGAGAATCCGGCGGAGCTCATCCCGTGCGTGCAGGTATGCACGGGAGCCACCTCGGCGCCATCGGAGGTGCGTTCCGTGCGTGCAGGCACGCACGGGAGCCACCTCGGCGCCATCGGAGGTGAGTTCCATGCGTGCAGGTAAGCACGGGAGCCACCTCGGCGCCATCGGAGGTGCGTTCCGTGCGTGCAGGTACGCACGGGAACCACCTCGGCGCCATCGGAGAAGCGTTCCGTGCGCGCAGGTACGCACGGGAGCCACCTCGGTTCCATCGAAGGTGAGTTCCGTGGGTGCAGGCACGCACGGGAGCCACCTCGGCGCCATCGGAGGTGCGTTCCGTGCGTGCAGGTACGCACGGGAACCACCTCGGCGCCATCGGAGAAGCGTTCCGTGCGCGCAGGTACGCACGGGAGCCACCTCGGTTCCATCGAAGGTGAGTTCCGTGGGTGCAGGTACGCACGGGAGCCACCTCGGCGCCATCGGAGGTGCGGCTGAGGCTGAGGCAGGCTGCGGCTGAGGCTGAGGCTGAGGCTGATGCAGGCTGAGGCTGATGCAGGCTGAGGCCGCAGGAGTAATCCAATAGCCCTTATAACGGCGACGATGGAACACAGTGCCGGGGAACTGCTTTGAACATCACCAGTCGTTCAAAGCAGTGCCCCGGCACTGCTTTGAACGATGCGGAAATGCGATCAGCAGGAGCCTTCGTCTGTTCCTTCTCCTCTTCTCGTCGCTGTATGCTCTTCCTTGTCCTCCCTCCTCCCCCGTTCCCTCTCTAATTAATTACCTCGTTCTCCCAGTCTCACGCGCACTCTTCCTCCCCCCTCTCCTCCTCCTCTTCCTGCTTCTCCTCCTCGTCCTCCTCCTCCTCCGCCTCCTCCCCCTCATTTGTTATATTTCTCCGTCCTTGTCCTCCTGTCCCCGTTCTCCTTCTCCCTCTCCTCCTCCTCCTCCTCCTCGTCGTCGTCGTCCTCCTCCTCTTCCTCCTCCTCCTCCTCCTCCTCCTCCTCTTCCTCCTCCTCCTCCTCCTCCTCCTCCTCCTCCTCCCCTTCTTCCTCCTCCTCCTCCTCCCCCTTTTCCTCTCCCTCCTCCTCCTCCTCCTCCTCCTCCCCCTTCCCCCTCTTCCTCCTCTGCTATCACTCCTCCATAATTCCTGTCCGCTCCTCCCCTTCACTGATCTTCCTCTTCGTCATCATCATCCCTTTCGTCGCACGCCTCTTAATCCTCAATCGGTTCCCAATCTTCTCGACTTTCTTGTCATCCGCGTCCTTGGCTGTTGGAGGGGCCTCAGGAATTCTCAGGGCTCTTGTGTTGCACGCGAAGGCACACCTCCCAGGAACGCATCATCCTCCTCACATTCACCCTCCTCCTCCTCATCCTCCTCCTCCATGCACGTTCGGCTCAAGCCCGCGCCGACGGTAGGTTTCACGGCGGTTGGGCGGGCTCGCGCCCGCCTCCGCGGCCTGCAGTCGGGGCAGAGATGCGTGCAGGGTGGGATGACAAAGCGGAAGAGGAAACACGGGCCGCAGTTGCGGATTCTTCAAAGAGCAGCGGCGGCGGTTGGGGAACAAGTGGGGGTTGGGGCGGCCGCAGTGGCGGATACGGCGGCGGAGGTGACCGCAGTGGCGGCTGGGGCGGCGGAGATTCTCTTGGCGGATGGAGAGGAAAAGCGCAGGATGGCGGCGACGGAAGTGACCGCAGTCGCGGATGGGAGGGCGGCGGATGGGGCGGCAACGGATGCGAGGGTTGGGGAATGGAGGGCGCCCGCTGGTGGGACGACGAGGGTGGCTGGTGGAATGCATGGGAAGGTGGCCGCTCGAGTGCCTCGGCAGGTTCTCCTGCCGCGGAGCCCGCGGCCGCAACAGCGGCGGGCAAAGGAGGCGGTCCCCTGCTTCCCCCAGGGCGCGAAGAACAAGGCGCAGTTGCGCTGTTTCAAATTGTGCGCAATGAGCCGCTGCCAATTTTCAAGTTGGAATTCTTCGAGAACTTCAGGGCGAACTGGAACGGCAATTATAAGCAGCACAACGCGGCCTTGAAGTGGTTCCGAGACGAGTACGAAGACCGAGAAAACCCTTTCGGCAGCCGCACGCCCGTCTTCGGAGGTACCGCAGTTGCGGAGGAAATTTCGAAGATCCTTAAGTACCGCGCAAAGGGGAAGGCGCAGGACAACAGGGATTGGGACTGGGACCACACTGTCAAAGTGCCGTGGTCTTGGCTGGAGATGGTCGCGCAGATGGATGGACCTACAATGCTGCGCGTCGTGTGCGGCCCTGACAATGACCGCAGTCGCGGGTTGGTCCGCTGCGAGTGCCGCCCGTGCCCTAGCAGTCTCGACAACATGAGGCACACGAAAGGGGTGGACAGAGGACAGGCGCAAAGAATCCCTCTGCCCCAGTGGGATTTCGTCCTCATCCGCGACGACGGCTCGGGCATTCGCGTCCACCCATCCTGGTCTAGCCCGAAGTTCAACACGTATGAGGTGGAGCCGCACTCGCATCCCGTGCGGGGCCCGAGGGCAGGTCTCGGCAAGAGCGATGGCCACGGAACGTTCACGTTCTGGAAGATGCTGCACGCCCATCCGAATCCTGGGCGGTTCGACGCGAGCAAGGGGGCGCAGCTGCAACCGCGGTGGTCCGCGCAGCCTTGACACCGCAGTTGCGGGATTGCGCAGCCATGGAACCGCAGTTGCGGAAACCGATCGCGTGACGCCGCGCTCGTTTGACTCACTATGCGCGCTTTCGGCCGCAGTTGCGGCGCTGCCTTCTAGCGACTTCATACAGCTTGGCCGCAGTTGCGGCGCTCCCACGACTGACCGCTGTAATTAGGTGCTTCGGGCGCGCATCACCTCCGTTGAAGCACTCGTGACGTTAAGTAGCGCGGCCGCAGTTGCGGAGACAGGTACTTAAACAGATGGATCCGCAGTTGTTCGTCGTCCTCGTCGCCCCTTCCCCGTCGTCCTCGTCGCAGTCTCCTCCCTCCGCCTTTCCTCCTCGTCGCAGTTCCTTCCGTTGGCCGTAGCCCGCCTCCGTTGGCCGAGTCATTTCCCGTCGTCCTCGTCGCTTTCCCCCCCGAGGG